GAGCAGCAGCAAAAGGAGCTGCAAAGAAAGAAAATTGAAGATACAACTGTGCTGGTGAATAAAAAAGATACAGTGGACAGAAAAGTGCGGCGCATCCAGATCGCGTTGCAGCATCCAAATGCGGAAGATAAGCATTATCTTCAGCTGCAACTGAACATGTTAGACAATGCTTACACTGAGTACAACGACCTACAAAATCGCATATATGACCTTAACCCCAGTGAAGAAGTGTGTTATGCGGAAGAGATATGATTCATTGCGTTTGAAAAGTTGTATAGTGGACTTTTTGTGCAGCTTACGAAACGCATTGATGCGGCGGCGAAAAACGTGATAGTGCCGGCGGTAGTGCAACCCGTAAACAACTTGCCCTCCGTTCCTCCGTTGAAAGCTCAATTGCCTACTTTTGACGGCAATTTTGAAAATTGTTTTGCGTTCAAGAATATGTTCGAGAACGTAATGGCTCGTTACCCGACGGAATCAGCGGCGATAAAGTTGTACCATTTGCGAAATTCGTTGGTCGGTGCAGCTGCCGGCGTGATCGACCAGGACATCATAAACAACAATGATTATGATGCAGCCTGGGCGACCTTGCGTGAGCGCTACGAGAATAAGCAGGCCATTGTTGACATGCATATCGATGCAATGTTCAACTTACCTGTAATGATAGATGTTCGAAGAACGTCGATGCTCTAAAAAACCTACAGTTACCAGTCAACGGATTGGGCGACATGATGCTGCTGAATGTGCTGTCCAAGAAATTCGACATTGATACCCAGAAGGCGTGGGCGATGAGCCAGAAGGATAAAGAACTGGCGGTGTGATAAGCAATCATATCACATCTCTATAATCAATCAATACAATAATTCTTCTGCATTCTTTTCAAGTGGTTCTCACGAACCAGTTGATCCACATATGTTAACTATGCACATTTCTAGTTCTACCAATAAATCAATTGCACCATTATGTGTGCATCGTACCCAGCGGTCCCACGCTAGCAAGTAGATCGAATTACAGACCTCCGTGCAGCCTGGGACTCTGCTGCGAGAAGCAACCTTTAAGCACATGTCGCAATTCTTCCATTTACATACCAATACATATCAATCACCAACAGGCAACTGCTGACTGGTCTGAACGAGTAGTCCAGGCACCTCCTTCATATATAAACTTTGTAGAATTATGTAGAGTAAGGAATCACATAGCTAGAGTTAAGTTTTCTTGAATAAAGAAATTCATTCTGTATCAATCACTTAAACCGTCCGGGTGTTTCTATGCCATGATGATGACAACATCAAAATCAGTAACAAAGTAATCGTTACAGGCGGATTATAAATCGACGATGGAGTTCCTCAAAGAAAGGTGTAAAGTGTATGAGAAGATCAGCCGTAGTAGCAAGGCTCCATCGGATGTTGTGAAGACAGTGCGCCCCGTTGGAAAGATGGATTCGAAAGCGCACAGCCTAGTTACTACTAGTGCAAGGTGTCGTACTGTAATGGTGATCATGAAATATGGAAGTGTGATTCGTTTAAAAAAAATGAGCCTAAGCGAAAGGTACACTTCCCTTCGAAAGAGTGGCTCATGTTTCAATTGTTTGGAACGGGGTCATATAACGGGAAAGTGCAAGTCAGAACACTCATGCAAACGTTGCGGAAAACGACATCATACGTCCCTACATCCAGCAGATTCTGAGTCTGTGGAACCCTTGCCGCAGCAGAAAAGTGGTGTTCCTAAACTAGATAACTCGATGTGATGTGATTAGAAGCCACCACCAGTGCAGGACTTGCCATAACGTACGGTTCCTCTTAATGGCAAGATCAGACTATGCACCCCTGCAATCTTTACTGTTCCGTTGTGTGAAGGGCCAAAAACGGAGGTGTGGACCTGTAAGCTGATGCACTTACACGATATCCACTGTAGGGATAGAGAATCTCCTTCCACCGGAACGCTCTTATTACAGGACATACATACAATACAATACACATTAAGATTTTCGTCTGGTGGTTTGTTCGAAATAGGGTGCATCAGACTCACTGTAGACTGTTAGAAGATAACTATACCCTCGATAATATCGATCCAAGGATTTCCATCAAAGAAGGCATAACTATTTCCCATGATTTGGGCCTGGCAACCACGACTCCCTCCTCCAGCCTACAATTTGTCTGATACCCTTTATACCCCCTTCCCCATTGTAATTGAATATTGTGTCATTAAAGATTATAATGTGAAATTGATATTATATGTTAATACTACAAATCATATAAAAGTTTATGTTATTCACTACATTTTTTTAACATAAACTTTTGACCAATATCTGTGTGATAAATGAATTACTCACCCCACTCCTTTAAACCTCTGCTTGGGCCGTTTTGACCGAATTACACACCTCTCGTCACTATTGATCTTTTGAAAATAACATCACCAACATGCAAAAACCCATTATCCCCACCTGAACCTCTGTCCCCTTTTCATACTTTTTCTCTTTATTATTATGTATTTACCATTTTTCATATTATTATTATTAAATTAAATTAAAATCTTACCCCTTACCAATAAATTTGCACGAAAATTTTACCGTTTATTGTTATTTTTCACTAATTAGGGCAAATGGCTCTAATGTTGGCCCATGGCTCCAAGATTGGGCCCATCGCTAAACATCTCCTATTTATCAATTTTATCTTGATGAACGTGTTAATGTGGCTGTGTCAATGCATATTTTTGGTTGCTAATAAAAATTTGACCTACTACTCAATTTATGTGTTGGCCCAACTTAGGAACCTTTAGGCCAACATTAGCGCCTTTTCCCCTGTGTTTCATTATTTATTATTTTTATTATTATTCATCAGTATAATAAATGATTAATATTTTTTTAGTTGTTATTATATATGTATTAATTCATACTTATTATTAATTAATTCTTTAAACCCAAGGGTCTTTTTATCACCGTTTTATCATTATTAACCAAATTCATATTATTACCATAATTCGTTTTTAATTATTTATAACTGATTGTTAATGTTCATTATTATAATTATTACTGTTATCCTATTCCGCAGTTGATGTTAATTTGATGTGTTTTAATATTAACGCTATTTTAAAGATATTCGATAACTGTAGGTGGTATTTTACTTATTTTTTCAATAATTCATAACTTTTTTGTTTATGATTTGCCCAGCAAATGCACAGTGTCAGTAGGTATTACTTTATTTAAACTACAAAATAAATTTAAAAAAAAAAAAATTATTAAAAAATAAATTATTAAAAAATAAAAAAAAAATAAATATGTAATTTGAGTAATTTTATTTTTTTTTTTGATAATTTAATAATTTAATTTAATTTAATAATTTTTTACAGTGTATATTTTTTCTTGAAAGGCACAATACTTGTCCGCAACTTCTTCGAAGACACCATCTCGATCAAACAAATCGTTCACGATATATATTTTTCTATTGATGCGTATCATTTTTGCATAAGCCCTTTTCAAGTCTTAGTCGTGTGCAAAACTAGGGAGCCATATATGTAAAATGGCATGTTGGGCAATAATAAACAACTGTGCAAAGTTTCATCATAATCGTAAAAGGTCGATCCGAAACGATTTGCGAATCTGTGTAGAACTGCTCTTCTCGTGAAATTCTGTCATTCACTTCGTGTTTCTTCAAAACCCTATCGTCAACTTATGTTTCCCTCTCCCACCTTACTTTTACCTCTCACTCTCTCAATTGAACTTCCCCTCCATTCTGTACAAACAGAGCTTCGCTTGAGAACACTAAAACTTTTTTTCCCTCTTTTTTCGCTCTTTCGTTCCCCTCGCGTAGGAACTCTACACACTTTTTCTCCTGTCAACTTTTCCCTCCAACCACACAAACCAACACTGCGCTCCGCCACCTGGACAGATCTGCGTATCTAACTGTACTTTATCTTCCTTAACTTTAATTACTCACCCCTTACTTGTAGCACCAACTATCACCGTACACCGAAATCAAATTCGCTGTCCATTACAACCACTTTCGATGCATTCAATCATCTCGCTTTTCTCTAAAAATGTCATTTACTTACTACATATACATGAGCCCAGTATCAATGATGACAATAGCTCCATCCATCTTTCACCCCGCTTTTTTTTCATTTGTGGTCTCTTTCCGTTCACCACTGATTACTTCTACTCCACTCACATAACATACAAACTGCTCATTGCAGTCTGCACGCCACCATTCTTCTTGATCTTATTTATTTCTTCTTGTGATATTCTGCTTCCCTTGCACTTCGTGTTTCTTCAAAACCCTGTCGGCAGCTTATGTGTCTCACTCTCCCAACTTGCTTTCACTCTAGCACTTCATTGAAGTTCCCCTCCATTCTCTCCCAAAAGAGCTTCGCTTGAGACCATTGACACTTGTTTTTTTTTCCTCTTTTCTCCGCATCATATGAACTCTACACCTTTTTTCCCTTATCAAGTTTTCGTTCCAACCAAACACGAACCAAAACCGCGCCGCGCTCCGCCACCCGGACAAAACTGCGCATTCAACTGTACTTTTTCTACAAAGCTACAATTTTTCACCAAACTCTTGCAATCCAAATCTCTTCGACACACACCGAATCCAAATCACCATCGACCAAAACCACCATCGCACAATTCACTCGACTCGCCTGACCAAAGTATTCTCTAAACACCTCCTTCACTCGCTACGATTGCAAAAGCCTCCGTTCACCGTGAATGCTAGATGCCAACTGCTCCTAAACTAGATAACTCGACGGCGAATATGCCTGGCACTTCTTCGGTGCCAGTCATCAACGGATCAGTTCTTTGTTCAAACGTAGACGCTGATCAAGATACGCTGCTGGATACAGCACTTGCTTTAATTCGCGGAGCGGGAAAGCGAGTTACCCAGTGCAGAGCAGTGCTAGATTCTGCTTCGCATAAGCACTTTATCACGGAAGGATTGGTTTCGAAACTCGGATTGAAACGAAAGAGAGCTAACTACACAATTCTTTGGATTGGTGGTAATGAGATGGCCATTCAGTTCAAGGTACACGCAAGAATCAAATCGAAAGTAAGTGAATATGAGTCATCATTTTTGGAGTTCCTGGTGGTCAAGAAGATTACGAATGAGCTTCCGATGCAGCGCTTCGAGGCAACCCAGTTGAAGATTCCAGAAAACATCGAGCTTGCCGATCCCGGATTCAACGTTCCCGGTCAGATAGACGTCCTGATTGGATCTGGTTTTTTCTTCAAATTGATCAAGCATAGTCAGTTAAACTTGGCTGTTAACTTGCCAGCAGTGCAGGAGTCATCTCTTGGTTGGATTGTGAGTGGTCTGATTCCAACCAACCAACTGGGCGTTGGTGGTTCGCTATGTACGATGGTAACTGAGGATAACATCGGTAAGTTACTTGAACGTTTTTGGCATTTCGATTCCTATGACGAAGTGACGGTTCGAGAGCATTCTTCAGAAGATGCTTGCGTCGTTCATTTTCTCGAGACGTATCGACGAGATGACCACGGAAGATTTTTCGTTCGGCTGCCCGTCAACGACGTGAAGGAGCAGTTGGGCGATTCTGAAAGCATGGCCAGGAAAAGGTTTTTGGCTGTCGAACGAAGACTGGATAAGGATCCGAATCTGAAAGAGCAATACGTTGCCTTTATGAGAGAATATGAAGAAATGGGGCACATGGTTGAAATTACGCCTTCACCGACCGAAGATTCGACTAATGATTTCTACATTCCTCATCTCTGTGTTTTGAAGCCAACTAGTACCACAACTAAATTGCGGGTGGTATTTGATGGTTCAGCGGAATCGTCTTCCGGAGTGTCCATCAACCAAACTCAAATGGTTGGTCCAACAGTACAGAACGATTTGATCTCCATTCACCTGAAATTTCGAACGTTTCAGTACGCTGTCAGTGCAGATGTATGTATGTATGTATGTATGTATGTATATACAATCCAACTTCCACTGTCCGGCAGTGTTTTTATGGAAGAAAAATGTTTGCAATATAATCTATCATTATTATACTGATCTCATTGCAAACAATTTTAGCCCGGAAGTTGAAAGGTGATAGCTCTGTTGAGATTCAGTAACCCATTTCAGAATGTCTGGTCACTCACGTCCATTCCGAGGTTACTTTCACTTACAACAAGCCCCGCATACACGTAGTACCGATATAAAATGTATATTGGTACTGCGTGTACACTTCCATCATCAAAGCAATTCCTGCTTTGTAGATGGCACGTATTTAGTAGGATGCATTTCATATTTTTATATCTAGTTGTAATCAGTTAGATCTCACCGCTTATGTATTGTGTCCTCGACGTGGAAGCATCGTAGTCTAATCTGCAAATTCATCTTTCCCGGTTTTTGTCCAGGGGCAGAACGCCAATGCTTCTTCCGGAAGTGGAGGCGTAGCACCGGAACACACTAGCACGATGCTACAGCAACACAACTATTCAAACAAAATTCTAGCCCGGGAATTTTCACAATAATTCACAATATTAAAACACTGATAAATTAATCATAATGAATCTATATACACATGATAATAATAAAAACGAATTACTTTTTGCCTTAGTACAAGCCAAAAAGCACGCGGAAAATACGGAATTTGTGACAGCGAAATTAAAACCGACCGTTTGCGGGCAGAGCCTACTGCGCCTCAGTACGCTGTCAGTGCAGATGTCCCGAAAATGTACAGGCAGGTTTGGATGGACGACGATTTTCTGCGAATTTTTTGGAGAACTATCCGTGATGAACCTCTGAAAGTCTATACGTTGGAGACAGTGACGTATGGGCTTGCATCTTCACCGTTCTTGGCAACGATGGCGCTAAGGCAGCTTGCTAATGAAAAAGAAGAGTGTTTTCCCCTTGCAGCGGCAGCTGTGAAAAAATGCTTCTACATCGATGATATGCTTGCTGGTGCGAATACGCGGAAGAAGCTATGGAGCTACTGAGAAAGATTACCAGCATGCTACACGACGGCGGGTTCGGCATACACAAGGTGTATTCGAATTCGAAGGAACTGTTGGAAATGGTTCCCGAAGAAAAATGTGAAAACTTTGTGACGATTGGAATCGTGTGGGACCCAAGAAGTGATTTATTCACTTTCCATATTCCGAAGTCATCAACGTCAGTGCAGCTGACGAAGCGGGTGATTTTGAGCGAGATTTCCAAGATCTTCGACCCGCTGGGTTTTCTCGGACAAGCTGATAATGAGAGAATTGTGGCTTCTTGAATTTCATTGGGACGACGTACTATCGCAAGATTTGGTGGTGCTCTGGATGGAATTTCGGATCAATTTGCAGAAGTTGAACGGATTGGAGATTTCACGCTACGTGTTGACTCAAGGTTGGATTGCTGTAGAATTACACGGATTTTCCGACGCATCCGATCTTGCATACGGAGCCTGTCTCTACACATGATCGGTGTTCAATGATGGTACAGCTGAAATGAAATTGATATGCAGTAAATCGAGAATCTTGCCGAAGAAAAAGGGAACACAGAAAGAAGTTACGACACCACGAGGAGAACTACAGGCAGCTCTTCTGCTGTCTCGCCTCACTGTGAAGTTGAAAGAAGCCATGGGAATAACATTTTCATCCGTGGTTTTGTGGAGTGACTCCCAGATAACGCTTTGTTGGATCAAGAAACCTCCAGAAACGCTGAAGATTTTCGTTGTAAACCGGGTAAAGGAAATCAAAATGCTGACAAACGGATATGATTGGCGATACATTCCGTCAAAATCGAACCCGGCAGACCTCATTTCAAGAGGTGTTGAACCGAACCACTTGCGGAGTCAGGAAATTTGGTGGACAGGGCCAGAATTCTTGAAGCATGTGATGTTCCGAATCGACACTCCTCCTCCGATTCCAGAAGAGATTATTCCGGAGGTGCGGGGAATCGTTCTTCTCAACTTGATTATCTGCACCAGACTGAAAATGTTTGACAATATCAGTCGATTTTTTATTATGCAACGAGCCATGGCATACGTGACTCGTTTTACGGATTTCATCAGAAGTGGAAGAAAGCAACTTACCAAAGGGTTGTTGACAGCTGATGAGATGAAACGTGCAGTGTTGCTAATTGTGCGTTTAGTTCAACGGGAAGGATTCGAAAAGGAAATCAGAGCGTTGACGGAGGAAAAGGACTTCAAGTATCCGTTGAAATGCTTGAACCCTTTCATCGATGAGAAGGATGACATACTTCGAGTGGGAGGACGGATTAGAAACGCTCAGATTCCTTACGACAGTAAACATCAGTTACTTCTGCCTGTAAGCCATCCAGTGACGATTGCCATTGTCCGCTATCTTCATAAGAACAACATGCATCTGCTTGCTGTTGTGAGACAACAATATTGGCCTCTTAGAGCCAAGAATATTATTCGAAATGTGATCCATAAGTGCACACCTTGCTATCGAGCAAACCCGAAGAGAGCGACGCAACGCAGTTGATGGGAGATTTGCCAGAATACAGAGTACAAGCAACGTATCCATTCGCCAACGTCGGAGTGGATTTCGCTGGACCGTTCACACTGAAGGCTGCGGTTTCTGTTAAAAAATGTGTGATGACCAAAGGGTACGTATGCGTCTTTGTGTGTATGGCTACGCGGGCTATACATTTGGAAGCAGTTTCAAGTCTTCCAACCGATGCGTTCTTGGCTACCCTTCAACGTTTTGTGAGCAGAAGGGGTCTACCTTCAAAGATTATATCAGATAATGCCACCAACTTCGTTGGTGCGAATACCGAACTAGCAAAACTTGCCAAGCCATTCGAAACGGAAATGCATCAGAAGAGGCTGAATGAAATTTGCGTTCAGCGAAACATCGATTGGTCTTTTATACCTCCCCGTAGTCCACACTTCGGAGGGATATGGGAGGCTGGGGTGAAATTGGCCAAATTTCACCTCCGGCCGATTCTGGCCGATCACAAACTTTCATATGAAGAATTGTCAATGACATTGGCACAAATAGAAGCAACGTTGACCTCACGCCCGTTGATTCCATCATCGGACGACCCAAACGATATGACAGCTATTACTCCGGCACATTTTTTGATCGGCCGGGAGTTTCAGGCTGTCTAGATGGCAGGTTCTTCAGGACTTGAGGCAAAAGTATTGGCGGACTTGGTCGACAGATTATCTCCAAGAGCTTCAACGGCGTCAACGGGATTTCATCGATAATCTACCTCCACTTCAGTGAAGTCTTGCGCGTATCACGGAGTTACATCCGGGCCAGGATGGCCACGTACGAGTGGTTACAATGAAGACGAAGGATTCGATCATCAAACGAGCGGTGAAGAATGTGTGCTGTGTGCCGTTAGATGAAGAAGATGCGGCTAATCCTGAAACTATGCCAGAAGTTTGAAATTCAGCATTTCAACGGCCGAGAGGATGAACGACCGCACCGAACAAACTCTATACTACATAAGCTCAAAAGCGTTTGACAAGCTCTACCGAATTGGGTATCACTTCTGCGTATGCTTCGTAGACGTAGGCGCATTGAATCCGACAGTCGGCAAAGGTTTAACCTGTACCAACACCGCTTAAGGAACGACCTCGAGTTAGTAAAACCGTTTAGAGCTAAACATCTAAATTACGTAAGATACGAAAATCGCACAAATTGTGAACGCCACGCGAGACAGCCGTAGAGAAAAAACAGCTTATTATCACTTAAAAAGTGCCACCTAAATAAATGTGATAGCCTATGTTGGCAAGTTGATTAATTTAGGTTAGTCCTCCCTAAATATTCTACTTATTTTACTGTTAAACTTTGTTTCAATTTAGTTATTTTACCGTACGTATCAATCATTTCAAGATTTCGCGACCGTACCGAACAAATTATATACTACAGAAGCTCAAAAAAACTTTTGGTGAGCTCTTACGCATTGCGAATCACTTCTGCGTAAGCTCCGTAGACGTAGGCACGTTGATTCCGACAGCCGCGAAAAGTTAAACATGCATCAATACCACATAAGGAAAGATCGATTTTACGTATGGTTTAGTTCATAGATCAACATTGACTGCTGTTTAAAAATGTAAGTACTTGAACACTATGAAATAAGTTATGCTTTAACCGCATATATAATAGATTTCGCGTTTTGAGAGCATAATAAAGTAATCGAGTACAACAAACTCAGGGGAATACAATACCTCCAAAAGTTTAAAAGGTATTAATTGTCACATACCTCTACTTTTACTTATTTCCTAAACTATTCCTCTCCTAGTCAATCTGCTTAATGCTATTAGTCTGCCTGCGTTTTCAAGTTCAAGACTAAATAAGAAGATTTATTCTACAACTTTAAAGGTTAGTTGCCTCCCTAAGTGGACCCCCCGCATCCTAATTCTTTTGTTAATCTACTTAATGTCATTAGACTTTCTGAAGTTTCTTATTTAAGTTCATGTGATGATGATGATATCTCATTAGTCTAAATAAATAAATTATTAAAAGCTCTAATTCACCTAATCAATGCATGATTAGCACCATGCTTTAAGTACCTGCACTTGTGCTTGTAATCTAAAATTAAACGTGTTTCAAGTACTTTTGATTTAAGCCTATACATATTTATTATATCTTAGTTCGACCCAGCTAACACCTTCATGTGACTAAAATGCTTCATTTTGAAGTTAGTTTCCTAGTTGATCTTTAAATTATATAGGGTATATGCTCCAACTATGCTCACACGCTTCCACTATGTCGCACCACAAAAATACGTATGAGTATGTTACAATAGAAGCAGGCCACAGTGGAAATCCCGAGCCATAGTTCAAACACTTATCCCAAATCAAAATGAAGCACATATAAGATTAGTTACAATACCATGTACAAAAATGGTGTTTAACATTGTTTCCTGAGTAATACCTCAATGAAAGCTTGTCACGCAAATAGAAGGAGCACCGTTGGGCACTTTCTGAAATATTT